GGATGATAGATGATAGACAGATGATAGATGATAGATAGATGATAGATGATAGATGATACATATAATGATAGATGATAGATAGATAGATAGATGATAGATAGATGATAGATAGACAGATAGAGATGATAGATAGATAGATAGATAGATAGATAGATAGATAGATGAAAGATAGATAGATAATAGATGATAGATAGATAGATAGATAGATAGATAGATAGATAGATAGATAGATAGATAGATGATGGATGATGGATGATGGATGATGGATGATAGATGATAGATAGATGATAGATCACAGATGATAGATGATAGATAATGATAGATGATGGATGACAGATGATAGATAGATGATAGATGAAAGATGATAGATAGATGATAGATAGATGATGATAGATGATACATATAATGATAGATGATAGATAATGATAGATGATAGATAGATGGTAGATGATAGATAGATAGATAGATAGATAGATAGATAGATAGATGATAGATGCTAGATAGATGATAGATGGATGATGGATGATGGATGATAGATGCTAGATAGATGCTAGATGCTAGATAGATGATAGATGATGGATGACAGATGATAGATAATAGATGATAGATGATAGATAGATGATAGATGATGGATGGCAGATGATAGATAGATGATAGATGATAGATGACAGATGATAGATCATAGATAGATGATAGATAGATGATGATAGATGATACATATAATGATAGATGATAGATAATGATAGATGATAGATAGATGGTAGATGATAGATAGATAGATAGATAGATAGATAGATAGATAGATAGATAGATAGATGATAGATGCTAGATAGATGATAGATGATGGATGATGGATGATGGATGATGGATGATAGATGCTAGATAGATGATAGATGCTAGATAGATGATAGATGATGGATGACAGATGATAGATAGATGATAGATGATAGATGACAGATCATAGATCATAGATAGATGATAGATAGATGATGGATGATGGATGAGAGATGATAGATAGATGATAGATGAGAGATGATAGATGATAGATGATAGATGATAGAAAAATAGATGATAGATAGATAGATAGATAGATAGATGATAGATCATAGATAGATGACAGATGATAGACAGATAGAAGATAGATAGATAGATAGATAGATAGATGATAGATAGTTCAGAAAGGCTGGAAACGGGCCTGTTTTTGGCTTCCAGAGAGCCTCCAGAGCCCGGGGAGGCTTTTTTCACTCTCCTGGAAGCTCGAGGAAAGCCTCCGGAGCCCAGGGAAGGCAGAAACGCCCCCCACCCATGGTGGGGTGCAGGAGGCTGACTAGGCCACGCCCATCATGGCCACGCCCTTTCCCCCAGCAACCGGGCAGAGAAGCTCACCTGTGGATGGATAGAGAGATAGAGAGATAGATGATAAATAGATGGATGGATGGACCAAGGAATAGAGAGAGAGAGAGAGAGAGAGAGAGAGAGGCAGGCAGGCAGGCACGCAGACGATGAATGAATGGATAGATATGATAGATGGACAGACAGACGGATGGATGGATAGCTGATAGACAGAGATAGATGATAAATATTGACAGAGAGACAGAATCAGTGACCTCCAAACTTTGAAATTACCTACCTGCACCCACCACTACAACCCAGCTGGGTGAATTTCAGCTCATCCAGGAAGAGATGCTGGCTTTGGGAGTAGCTGAGATGACGTGGTCTATCACAGCAAGGAGGAAAACACGGGGCTGGACAACCAAACCCTTCCCCAAAGATTTGCCATTTCAAAGGTCCTCCCCCTGTGGCTTATGAGGATTCGAACTGACCCAAACCAAAACCTATCCATTTCCAGATCCCAGGTTGAAAATAAAGAGAGGAAAAACCAAAGAGGAAGAAAATTATTTGAATATTTTTTTTTTATTGAAAGTTGTGAAGAGGACTCATCCCAAAAAAATCGAACCGAGAAGATACCTGAATAACCAGCACATTTCTAATGATGCCATTAAAAAAAAAAAACAATATACAGCACACACCGTCCATGTGATATTTTAAATTTTCATATAGTTTTAAAAGGTTTCTGGTATTCTTTTTTTTTTTTTCCCCACCCCCTCTGGAGTGAAAAATAAAAATTTGAGGTTGCTTCCTGTACTGTTTTCTTTTTTTTTCCTTTGAATACCCCCACACTGTAAAAGTTTTTTTTTTTTAAACCATTCACTCTTTATTCATCGTTCTTTGAACTATAAATCAGGAGAAAGTCGTATTTTCCCTGTCGAGTTCCTTTTGAAGGATTTGATTGTCTCCTGGTCTTTTTAGCCGGATCTAAAAATAATGATTGTCTTCCAACAGACGGGATAAACATTTTTCCTTGTTTCTTTTAGATATAGAACAAAAATTTTCTTCCGTTCACAAAGAGTTAAACAAGCAGGGAAATCTGTGGCAGGTGAAAAAAAAAATTCAAGATGGTTGCCCCACTTTTGCGCTCAAAGCCCTGCCCCTTCGATGTCATGTGGGAAAGTGGGTGGGGCTTGGACGGCACAGCCCTGGCCACGCCTACCCGGTTTATGACCCCTCCCCAGGGACCTGTGAAACCAGATCTTCATTTACAATATATGTACGCTCACGTAAAGTGGAAAAAGAAAAGAAAACAATCAAACATGAGTTAAACTCTAATTATGTACACTCCAATGTACAACTCTAAATAAATTAATACCAATTTTTGCATATTTGGGGGTTGAGGGGATTTCGTTATAGCTTATTTACAGAAATTACCATTTTATTCCATAAATATTATGTTTCTTTTTTTAATTTTTTTTTTCCTTTTTCACTTTAAATTTTCTGATACGCAGAGAGAAAGTCCCCAAAGAGAAAGATCCGAAAGTCACACGTGGATTGTGCCAACTCTGAAAGTTGGGAAGCGGAAAGAGAAACATTCATGTTTATTTTTCTTTTTTTCCTTCTTTTCGGTGGCCGTCGACATTCGGTAGCAGAAGGGGAACGCCTGTGAACACATCGCTCTCCTCCTCTGGCTAATATTAACCCAATTCCCTAACATATAGAACTTGGCAGAAAGCTCCCTTCTTCTTCCCCATTTCCCTAGCATCGGAGGACCGAATCCTACGGCATCGTCCGCATTTCAAAATTCAATTCTTGTGGGAAGAAACGTGCCAAGGATTTTTCCAAAATGAGTTTGGAGGTGACCTAGGACTCCATTTTCCTCTCCGGTGGCCATTTTAGAGATGCATTTGGCTTAAAACAGACCTCTTCCGCTTGATCTCGGGCCAGAAAACAGTTAAGATATCAGTGGGCTGTTGAGATTACAGCACGAGTTCGAAAACCTGGTTAGCAAACACCTTCCTAACATGCTTTCACCGCCTCCTCTTCTCGGCCCTTGGCTCTGCTTGCACCTCTAGTAGGATGCCAAGCTACTGATGCCTCTAGACTCCGACCCATCTCAATCTCCTCTCCTCTTTTTCTTAAAAAATAAATATTTATATACTGTGTGCTGTACACATCTCTTTCCCAGCCGCTCCTAAGCTCTAGGGGGTTGGCTGCTTCCGTGAACCGTTGACTTGGGGGAATTCCTACTAGGGGATACTTCCCTTTGGGTCTCCAAACCGCTGACCAGTCTCTGGATGTTTTGCAACTCGTTCATGGACTCTTTCAAAGATGGCTTGGGGGACAGAGACGCCCGCTGGGTGCTGGCTTTCGGGATGGGCAGATCCGAAAGAGGACTCGATTCCCGACTGTTCCCGGGCTTGGAGGCTTCCATGCCAGCATTCAAACCGGCAGGCAACCCGGTGGTTAGGAGGCTGGTGCTGGGAGGGATGGCCACCGGGATTTGGTAAGGGTTGAACCGCGGGCGAGGTCGAGCGCTGCTCAGGAACGGGTTCCGGGAGAGCGAGCTGGCGGCAGTGGCACTGGTCACTGGCATGGCGGAAGCTGCGGCAGCTGCAGCCGCCATGTAAGTATACGGGTAAGGAAAAAGTCCCCCAAAAGTAGGCAGTGGGATTCCCTGAAAAGAGAAAGGAAGAGACGGGGAAAAGGTCAGCCTCGTCAGATTAACAACAGTTCACTTAGTGACCATTCAAAGTGGCAACAGCACTGGAAAAAGTGACTTAGGACCAGTTTTCTCACTTAACGACCATTGAGGCCTTAGCGCGGTCACACGATCAAAATTCAGCTGCTTAGAATGCTGCAAACAATGCTGTAAATCAAGGGTCTTCCAACTTGGCAAGTTTAAGACTTGTGGACTTCAACTCCCAGAATTCCTGAGCTAACATGACTGGAGGAGGAATTCTGGGAGCTGAAGTCCACAAGTCTCAAAGCTGTCCAGTTTGAAGACCCCTGCTGTAAAAGGATGGCTGGTTGCCAAGCAACCTGTTCTGACCCAGCTCCCCAAACACAACAAACTCTCTGCCATGAACTCAAAAGATTCCTTTATTGGGAATGCTGGCAGCCCCAGCAAAAAGTTTCTCTCGCAGACTAACAAGCCCATCCCTCTGGAGATGAATAATTGTCTGCCACATCTATTCATCTCCACTGCTGCCTTTTATTCCCAGAGCTAAGGTGGGGGCTCTTCTGTCCTAAGGACCGGCCCATAGATTTCCACTGCTCTCCTCTCCTCTGCCTTCTGTGCATCTACGTGTCAGACACTGGACCCAGCTATTCCTCCTCTTCCTCATCAACCGCCTCCAGAACTGGAGGCTGTTGATTCTCCATCTGAGGACTGACAGATGACCCAGGCTCCGCCTCTCTCTCTTTCTCTCTTTCTCTTTCTCTCTCTCTCTCTCTCTTTCTCTTTCTCTCTCCCTCTCTCTCTCTCTCTCTGCCAGCTCCATTCCCTCTTCCCCCTCAGAGCTCTCTGACTTTCTCCCACACCTCCTCCTCCGATTCGGCTGCTGTAGGGGCCAGCGGCCAACAGGCCACAACAGGCCACAACACAACCAGATGTGATCACATGATCCGGAGTATGTGTGTGTGGGGGGGGGGACTTCCAAACCAAGCTCTGGGAAGGTCCATCAGAACTTCAAATGGTCCCTAAAGTGAGCAGCCGTGGAGTAGTCCTCCACTTCCAACCATTCGTTTAGTAACCGTTTGAAATTACAGCCGGCACTTGGGAAAAAAGTGAGTCAGGACACAGTTTTTCACACTTACGACCATTGCAAGCCTCCCCAGGGTGATCAAAATTCAGAGGACTCATATTAGGACGGCCGCAGTGTCCTGGGGTCACGTGATCCCGTTTTGCAACTTCCTGACCAGCAAAGCCAATGAGGAAAGCTGCATTCATTAAACAACTGTGTTGCTAACTTAACGACTGCAGTGACTCGTTTAGCAACTCTGGCCAGGAAGGTCGTAAAATGGGGCCCCAAGTCACTTCCCGACTGTCTCACTTAGCAGTGGAAATTTTGGGCTCACTTGTGGCCCTATAAATCAAGGACAACCCGTACTTCTATTCTCATATATTTAATTTTCCCCCCCTGGTGCTAGAAAATCAAGAGAAGTGCAAAGCTGTCCAACCAGCATTTTTGCTTTCTTCGTTTGCACAACAGTCGTGAGCAATTACAGCTGGGTTTCACGGGAAATCCAGGAAAACCTTCTTCACTCCATTCCCATAAATACTGCAGGCATTTTTCCCACCCACATCAAACCCTTCCGTCAATTTATTTGCTTAGTAACTGTATATATCCTGCCCAGTCCTTCGCGGCTTGGCTGGGGCCCATAAGAGAAAACAGCGACGTTAAAAAATAAAAAAATAAATCCAGATTATAAATTTTAAATGCAATGTAAACTATCAGCAAATGAAACGCCGTCCAGCTGAAAAAGCTAAAACCAGCAACTTCGACTTTTTTTTTTTTTGAAACCCCATGATATGGGTAGTCCTCGACATGCAACCGTTCATTTAGCGACCAAAGTTACGACAGTATTGAAAAAAGTGGCTTATGACCGTTTTTCACACTTACAACTGTGGCAGTGGTCATTTAACATAGTCATTTAAAACTCATTTAACAACTGTCTTGCTTGGCAACGGAAATGTTGGGCTCAGTCGTTAGTTGTCATAGGGTGAAGGAAGAATTATTGTCAATACAATAATTTATGGATTGCGTCAATACTTTTCTAACAAATGCTCAATTGGAAGAATGACTCATCTAGTCCCATTCGTCATATGGACTACTAGAACACAGTAATTAAATTGGATTGTTCTTCCTGCTAGAAAAATGAAACCATGTTGCTTGGCTCTTTTCCATCCTACCTGCCAAAATCATTTGTCAGGGCAACCCAGATTTTATTTCACAATATAATATTTTGAGCGTCTGTTTGGAAACGAGGCCTGCTAGGAAAGACAAGCACTGGTTTCAGGTAAATAGGTGACCGGGATTAGTCCAAACACATTCAAATTATAGCAATTTTGTAAAAGACATCAATGCAACCAGATCTCTCATGAAATGGGAGGGGCGGGAAAGATCATTTGAATTTTGTGAAAAAACGTGTGTGTTTCCCTGAAAATAAGACCCTGTCATTCACATATATATATATATATATGTATTTTCCCACATCATTGTAGTTGTGCTTTTAAAGTTGTAGCAACGTTTCGGCAGAATCTCGTCTGCCATCATCAGGCTTCTGGTTGTGTCCGTCCATCAGAAGCCTGATGATGGCAGATGAGATTCTGCTGAAACATTGCTACAACTTTGAAAGCACAACTTAAGAATATATATATATATATATATATGCAGGTCTTGGTGTGTTCGGGTCTTTTTCCATGTAAGATTGAGAATATCTTGGCAACCTTTCGACGAGGTCCCACTCACCATCTTCAGGCTGGTGCTTTCGGCTTCGTGCTTGTGCGAGCAGATACTCTCAATCTTACATG